TGAATTATTTTTAGGGGACATCAAATTTATACTGTTATATTCATTACTACTTTTACATTGTAGCAAAGTGTCATTTCTTCAGTGTTGTCACATGAAAAGATAGAATAAAATATTGACACAAATGTGAGGGGTGTGTACTCACTTCTGTGATATACTGAACTTGTACATTGCAGGTTGCTCTACACAGGGGCATTGCAGTACACTGTTGATGTGTGTTGGAGTACAATTGACCATGCGTTGTCACTTTACTCGATGCACATTACATTCTTTCTGGCACTAACAAGCCTTGAAGAGCTCAAGTGTTTAAAAAAAATGTTTAACTGATACTGAATCACCGCTGGGGACCAAACTCTGATTAGTGACTCCATTTTTGATCTGAAGCCTCCTTTTTGCTGGCTGTAACTCCACCTCATTCTGAAGCTCAATTTATGGGTGTTTCTGTGGGGGGGAGATACAGCTAGCACTGAACCCTAACCCCTCTCTAAACCAAGGCTTCTTTTACCTCATAGGGCTAGTTCACGCCACAATTTCAGCATTCCAGATGAATTTTTGCACACATATTAGCATGTGTTTTTAATGCATTTTTTATGCATTTTCAATGCATTCCAGTGAATTTTTTTTTTTATTTTGACACTTGGAAAATCATTGTTTTCATTCAGGACAATGTGCGTTCCAATGCGTTTACATGTATTTTGATGTATTCCGGGTGAGAAAACTGCAGCATGCTGTACTTTTTTTGTAAAACCTGGCATTTACTGTACATGTGCTCCTGATGTATTTGAAAAATGCACTGGAAAGCATCTGGTATGAACCAGCCTTTAGGAATGAACAAGTGTTGCCTGTACACATAATAGTTAAAGATCACACAGCCTGCAGCTGCTTGTAAACATACAACGCCCCATAGACTTGAGTGATCATTTTATGAATGAATGATCAGTGCTGTCGGGACCAGTGGCATGTATAACACAGCCTTCACAACTGCTGGCTTCAGTAGTAATAATAAATGATCAATCAGTGCTGTGGCCCTGTGTGATCTACCTGCCGGAGCGGTGTATGTGTACAAGCAGCTAGCAGCAGCTAGCAGATGGTCACACAATTTGTGTGATCTTTAACTACTGTGAATGATCCTGCGGGGCTGTGTTATACAGGTCCTGACAGCGCTGATCATTCATAAAAATTGGGTTTTTTCTACATACTTACCTGTAAAATACATTTCTTGGAGTACCTAACGGGACACAGAGTAGGCTATTCATGACTATGTGGGATGTCCCAAAGAAATTTGAGGGGAGGGTGACACTGATAGCCACTGTCCATAATCCTTCAGGACCTACTCAGCTGTCCGTAAAACACTGTGGCTAAAGGCAGAATCCTCTGCGGCTCTGACATCCACCTGGTAGAACCTTGTGAATGTGTGAACCGAAGACTATGTAGCGGCATTGCAAACGTGAGCCACTGACACCTGATGGTGGATTGGCCAAGATGTCCCCACAGTCCTGGTGGAGTGTGCCTTTACCCAAAAGGGTGGGACTTTACCTTTCAAACCATAGGGTTGAATGATCAATTGGCGAATCCAATGAGAAATAGTTGCCTTGGATGCCGCCTGCCCCTTCCTAGGCCCCTCTGGCAGCACAAATAGAGCATCTGACCTCCTGACCTGTGCTGTCGCCTTCAAGAAGACCTTACAGCAAGAACCACATCCAAGGTATGCAGAGATCTTTCTCTTGCTGACTGAGGCCTAGGAAAGAATGAAGGCAGAACTATGTCCTGATTAAGATAAAAGCTAGAAATCACCTTTTGATAAAAAGCATGGATGGGGTAACAACACCACTTTATCCTGATGCAAAACCAGGAATGGTTCTCTGCAAGATAGAGCTGTTAGCTCCGACACCTTCTCGCAGAAGTGATTGCCACAACACCCACTGTCAACAATAAGTTCAAATGGTGCTTTTTGCAAAATCTTCAAAATCAAGTTCAGGTCCCAAGGACAAACAGTGAGACACAATGGGCCTCTTGGAAAAAATGGTGCTAATGCTGAAACCTTGCCCTTAATGGTACCATCAGCCAAATTCTTCTGTGACCCTGTTTAAAGAAAATGATAAAGAAAATATTGTGCAGTGCAGTGTGATTCGCCTGCTTGTGTTTATGTATGTTTACAAGCAGCTCTGTTGTGAATGGTAACACTGGTCTGGCCCCTCCTGCACTTACCAGCGCTGTCAGTCACAAATCCATCTACATTCTAGCAGTGTTTTGGATGGGGAAGGGGGTGGTAATTGACCAACCGTGCTGCTTAGCAATGACTGAACAGGAGCAAGTGCTTCATGCACTTGGTGGCCTGAGGGATTAAATAAAACTTTTAAATATCTTGTGATATAAAATTTCTCTTTGGGTCTGCCAGACATGGTTCAAATTTTGTCTTGTCTCCTACTGAATCGGCTGAAATTCAAGCCATGCGTGACCCTGTTTTCATCTTCAGCTCAACAAACTTTGACTTGAAAAAAAATCAAAAGGAGCCAGGTGGAAAATTGAGAACCAAACATTGACTGCATTTTGTCACAATTTAGGTATTCTGACAGCCATGGGAGCAGTATCTGCTGAATACAGCCAGCAAAGGAGGTTCCTCCATCTGCTCTTTTAGGCATGTTTCTATCAGATCTCAGTTGTTCAGCCTGCAGGCTGAACAAATGAAATCAATGTGTGTATGGCCAGCCTTACCTGTCCCTACTCCTCTGACAGAAGGCTGCTCATGAATTTTTTTTTTTTTTAATGAATTGTAGTAGGCTAATAATCTCATTCTGCTGGTCTACATTAGGGCTGTAAAAAATGTGTTCACAGGTCTCCTAAGCCAATTCAGTGTGGTATCCACATATACAGGACTCCACATCGACTGAAATTAACAGATCATTTTCCTCTAAAATGTCAAACATTAGTGGTATCTTGTATAGGAGGGTAATCATACAACAAGGTCTCTTAAAGGATAAGTTCACCTTTATAAAAATAAACAAATAAATGCACATCTTTTGCAGATAAAAAAATGTGCAGTTATTTTTTGTTTTTATTAGGAGTCTGTAAATCACATTGCAACTGCAATCAGCAGATTACAGGTGCAATCTCAGGCTCCTGCAGACTCAGTGTACCTGTCTGCCTGTACCTCGGGCAGGCAGTTACTGAATGATAGGAAGAATCATTGAACTACCTAGAGCGCACATCAGCAATGGCTGATGGTTGTTGTAGCTCTCCCATTCAAAAAACTCTGTGAATGAATGAGACAGCTGGGTGAGTGAATCCCTGCACAACCAAATTTTTTTAAAAATGGGAGAGGGGTACAGGGAGAAGATCCCCGGCCCATTGTCACAACAGGGGATTGGTGAATAAGGGGCTGCAGCAATGGTTACATGATACACTCTGAATACAGGCATAACATGTAATATGTTACTAAAGCTGAACTTATCCTTTAACTTTTCATTTACAATATTGTTCTATATCATGGCTGGGGTTCCCCTTTGCAATAACATTTGGCAACTTTATGGTGCTTTTCTGTCATCTGAATTTTTAGGAATATGGAAAAAGGTTGAATAATATATTTCCATAGCATCATATAATCATATTCGTCCTATTTCCCCTCTCCACAAAAGCTTCATCTAACTTCTAGTTAAGAATAGAGATGAGCTTGGACGTCCTCTGAACCCATCTATAGCTGAACTCCAAACTCGCCCTGGTTTTTTACTCCAGTGATCTGTGGGCCTGGTCATTCCCACCCCGCAGCTCATATAAACAAAGAGGCAAACTGTGCTACGGTAATGACACAGCCCACAACTCAGTGGAGTAAAAAATAGGTGCAATTTGGGCTAGAGATGAGTTTGGAGGATGCCAAGAACATCTCTGGTCAAGAGTCACAACTTAAAGTAGTATTCCTGCCTAACACTAACAGTGTTTAAAAATGTTCCTTCCCCACTCTTGCTATCTATGCTTCTTAACCTGTAAAAAAAAAAAAAAAAAAAAAAAAAGTGTATACTTACCTTTTCAGCCTGCTGCGGCCCAGTAAGGTGATAGGCAGTTCCAGATTCCCTGTGTCAGTCAGCAGCGACTACATGGGTGAGGGGAGAGCACTGACAATGGCTAGGACATGGGAGTCTAGACATAACATATCTCTTCTGCAATAGAGTATTCTTACCTGCCTGTTCGAACTGTACATCGAGCAGCACACATGCGACTCAGTATACAGTCTTGGCATCTGCCAAGATGATTGAAGTCATCATCATCTGGCTGAAGATAGCAGCAGCCAGAAGCCTGGATGTCAGTGTACTGCATATTTGTTTTTTTTATCAGAAAGTATAGAAACTATTGTATCAGTAGGAGAACTGTGCAGCTAGCATTTTAAAAAGAAGAGGTTAGCAGTGACAGTTCACTGATTTATCACAGGGTACAGTCTTGTACTAATTGCAAAATAAAGAGTAATAGAAGGAAATGCTTATGTATTGTGGAGTAAGTGCTGTTCCATGCACCACTCAGGAGGTAACAGGGCCTGTAAGCATATCACCCCTCTGTTGCTTTTTATCCTTTCTAGCAAAACTTTTTATTTAAATCCCATTTTAGAATATTAACAAGACTTTTAACATTTGACCAAAAAACACTTTCTCTTCCTATGGGTCATAGGAGCTGGACCAGGCCCAGGAGTAATCCTGACTTTAATGTCAGGATCCACCCAGATGCCTGGAGCATTGTGTTTGTGTTTACGGTATGTGTATGCAGAGAGGTAGGACAGGAGCAGAGTAGCATCCTGTAAGATCAGAACAGGTTTTTAAGTGTGAGAGATGAGTGTTCTGCCTAACCCTTTGAAATTAGAACATGAAGCCCATCCCTAAAGAAAGACTTGATCCAGAGTGTATTACCTTTTATCTCTGGGCAGCTCTTTTCCTGCTTTAGCAACTAAATAGAAAAATAAGAGTCTCACAATTGGCAGACATCTAATAATCTTTTTATTAATAATCATGTATTTTTTTCAGAGCTCCAATGGACCAGTCAAGAAGTCAATGAGAGAGAAAGCCGTGGAGCGTAGAAATGTGAATAAAGAGCATAACAGTAATTTCAAGGCAGGGTATGTTCCCATTGATGAGGATCGCCTCCATAAAACTGGCCTGAGAGGCAGGAAAGGCAATTTAGCCATCTGTGTGATTGTCCTCTTGTTTATCCTGGCCGTGATCAACTTAATCGTAAGTACAATAACTCAGAGAAGATTTGTGGCTAACTGTGGAAGGTATTCTTTGCTCATAGGCAGGCACACTGGTACATTGTAGACTGTAAGTGTGGCCACTGAGCAAAAAAAAATGTCTTTCTCTATTAAGTGAGAAAGGATTCAGAGACATTTGGGTTATAATGCCACCTATAGGAGGATTTGGACACTGGCATAGATAAAAACAATGACCACCCAGTACAACCCTTTCTACTTTGAGCATGCCTCAGCTATTTGCTAATGTTTCAGAAGGTTGAAGCTCTTTTATTTGCTAGCAAACATTTAACTTCAGCCAGCATTTCCCTACACACTGCTTGAGCTGGGCTCTATATGCAGCTATCCTCTGCAATAGCTTTAGAGGCTACATCTGGACCCCAATTAACTGGATTATTGCAGGGCCATCCTGGAATATATCTTTAGGCTAATGCATTCTGCCTTGTGCTTTTGAGATCTGAGTTTATTGTTAGCCAGCCATACAGCGCTTTCTGGGTCCAGAGCTCTGGCACTGGCTCTTAGCCTCTGGTGTTACCCAGTCTCTGAAGGTTCACTTCGTGTATGGTGTGAGCACAGGCAGTGACCAAGATATTAAGGCCATTAGGCACCTTTTTATTATTCCTATTTTACATACAAAGGGTTCATGCTTAAGGTCTGAGTGATGATGCACTTAGTTAAGGGGAGTGTCACATATGTGAATTCTACACTCTTATTCCCGCCATTTCAGCATGAATGAACATCTGATTCTACTTCTTGTCACTGCACTGAAATCTTCTTTGGTTGGTCTTTGCTGTCTGCTTACATTGACCTCGTTGTCTGATCCTCTTGGGCCTCTCTTCTGCTTCCAGCAGCCAGTTCATGAGTGTTTCAAGGGTTACCCTGAAGAATATTGGTCCTGGCTTGCAGTACATGTCAGATGCTAGACACATGGTTAGCAGTCCTGATGTAATGTATCTCTCCAGCTCTCAATGCTCCCGTGCTGTCTTCAGTGCACCCTCTAAAGGGCCTGACAGCCTGGACAAATTGCATCCCTGATTACTAACCCTCAGCACAGAGGGCAAAAGTATACCTGCACGCCTTCCGCTATAAAATCTATATCTGATCTGCCTGCAATCTTAGCAGCTTCTGAGCTTTCTGCCATAGAAGCTCTGTCTGATGAAGTCACAACAATCCATAGTGGATGATTTTGCACCTGAGGAGCCTCAAGCAGCTGCTATTACCCCTAGGCTTAAAGAGACTGTTTTCTTTGACATCTCTGCACACCACTTTAAAATTGGAAGAACAGTCTGCAGCTTCTGCCAGCGCTGGTGTCACGTACCTGGTTGGGGAGCCTGACGTGGAGAGGAGGCATCCTCTTACTACTCCCGCCCGGAGCCCCTAATAGTGGGGACAGAGAGCACGGGGTCAGGAGTGGCACGAGTGCCGGGTGGGTCTGGAGATGATGGTAGGCAGGTGATGACCCAAAAGATCCAGATGCAGGCCAGGTGCGGATGCAGGAATGTGGGTGCAACAGCAGGTAGGTATGGCGGCAACCAGGATGCAAACCAGGTGCGGATGCAAGAGCGTAGGTGCGGCAGCGGATAGGTATGGCGGTAACCTTGGTGCAGGCCAGGTGCGACTGCAGGAACGTAGGTGCAGCAGGTATGGCGGCCACCAGGATAAAGGCCAGCTGCAGATACAGGAATGTATGTGCAGAGTGTCAGACAAGTTGGGTCAGGATCAAACGAGCAGATCAGGTACAAGGCAGCAGGCAAGCGGTTAGGGATAAGCCGGGTCGCTGTAGGCGGAGTTCTTTCTTAGGGTCAGATCAGATACAGGCAAAAAATCAGGTTATGGAGTACAGGACGTTATAGACCAGAAGGCCAGATCCTACACTAAGCTTGGAATAATTTCATTGAATTTATAATGGAGTAGTATATGAGAAATATTACACATTTTATTGATGCATGCTGTAAACCATTTTTTTTTTTCGCCTAGATTACGTTAGTTATATGGGTTGTAATTCGGATTGGTCCGAATGGCTGTGAGAGCATGGAATTTCATAACAACGGTTTGCTCCGGTTTAAACAAATATCAGACATGGGAATCATACATCCTTTATACAAGAGTACTGTGGGAGGACGGCGTAATGAAGATCTTGTGATCACACTGGCAACAACCAGCCTGTAAGTTGAAGAACTGTTTTTTATTAGATTTATTGTACATTTGAAAGAGGGCAGCTTAAAGTAAAATTCTAGATTTAACATTACTTCAGTCAGGTTGTTTGGGCCAATCTGGTCCATACTGATGATTTCCTTGCCAGAATGGCCTGGCTGTGGCAATGGGCTGTAGTAGCATTAACTACATAATGTAAGCAGAGCTGTATTCCAGCATCCCGGCAGCAGTAGGAGACACTTGCTCTCTGCTGTCGGATATAGATCAAGTCATTCTTAGCACATCCCATGATTCAAGAGAAGCTTTGTATTTTTATTGGTGAGTACAAGGCTTCCTCTGATTGGCCGAGGTGGAGATTGTGATGTCATGCACCCACCTCTTCACCCTAGCCAATCACAGGAAGCCTTGTAATCATTGATAAAAAATACAAAGCTTATCCCAACATGTGGGGATGCGCTAAGACCAACTTAATCTATACCCAGCAACAGTAAGGATGTGCCTAATACTGCTGACGGCACACAGAGCAACTATATGTAGCTCTGTGTTCTGGCATGGAAATAATTTATCACTATTTAAAGTGATTGTAAACCTAAAATGTACTTTATTCAAATAACTTGTGCATTAAAAAATACTTTTTTGTTTAGTTGCTACAAATGCCGTCATGGGAGCTATATTTTCCATATGTATTTTACATGCAAGCTCAGTTTACTTTTATTGCTGCACAGCAATTGTGTCTTGTTGATCATCTCCCAGCACGTTTACTAGACGTTTCCTAACTGAAAGCAATTGACTGAAAGCTGTTTTTAATGGCATTAAACAGCTGCGGTGCTCCTGCTAGCAAGAGACTATACATGTTAGATTTTAGGCCATATACAGGAAAGCTAGAAACAGCAGCTTTTTTAGTAGCCTCCCTGGCGGTATTCCCGAGTGTAGCTCAGGGTAAAGTTTCAGTACCACAAGCGGTAACCCTGAGCTACACTCGGGCTTACCATGTGGCGCTGCGCCACGATCTCTTGATCACTTACCTTGTCCTGCGCTTCGCGATGTCCCTCCTGCAGTGTCCCCAGCAATGTGATCCGGCCGATGCCGGCTTCTGTCATCTGGGTTCCGTCCCCTGCAAGCATCGGGACGTATGGGGGACGGAACAGCGGGGAAATTTGAAAATTACAAAAAGTGACATTCACTAAAATCACATAGTAAAACATTACAGTATCAAACCATTTCACATACATTTTGTCCCGAGTGCTTTGTCCTGTGCCCTGGTTACATTTTTACTGTTCTTTCTGCCTGGAAACTAAGAAACATCCTTGGCGTCCAAAAAGCGTCCCTTTAAGCGGTTTTAGACCGGCTAGAGAACAGTGATAGTAAATCAGAACCACTTGCAGAATTGAGTGATGATTTGTGGGGAAACCCATCATCAGACACTGAAAACAATTTTGCCACTTTGCTCAGTGATGTGTGAACTTGGCGCTATATTTCAAATTTCAGTGTTTTTGGTTTGATTATATTATTGAATTAAATCGATTATTATATTATTATTTTTTATGATTATTTATTAAATTATAATTTATGATTTTGTGTTTAAAAGTTTTATCATACCCGGGATGTTTACTAGACTCTTGTTCGGACAGATTTCAGTGAGTTATTCCTAAAAATTACAGGCCTACAATAAAACAAATACATATTTCCATGCAAAAAAATGTACTGCTTTGAGCACAGAAATATGGACATAATCAGACCGCTAGGGAAGTTAATGGCATGCCGAGTTTACTTTCCTAATCATACAGTACAGGACAAAGGATCTTCAAATCCTTACATCTGGTTTGCCTAATTTCAGGTTATTGGACACTGGCAAATAAATCCATATAACCCGGCCACACCCAGCTAACAGTTTTTTGCTACTGTCTTTAGGCAATAGGTTTTTTTTCTTCTTTGGATTTTTTTTCTGTGGTGATTGTTCTCTGAAGATTTGGCTGCTTCATAGGTACTGCAATTTTTCTGCCATTTTCTGATCTAGCTTAGCCTGGGGGGGCTATACCTGTACTCTGGCACATTGAAGACACAGGGCTAACTTATAATGCTGCTTTCAGTACTGGATCCTTCAGTGGGCACTCCCTGTTTGTGTTGTACAATGTGTGGCGTTAGCTGCATGTGCTGTAAAGGTCCTGCACTGCGGTCTTCTTGGTGCAGATTCCAGTCTCTGAAGACCTCTGCAGGGGTATGCCCATTGGTGGGGGCGAAGTCAGGATGGGGTTAAGTCCCTCTCCTACAGCTGGACTAGGGAGTACAGGGCATGAACTCTCTAAACATTCATCCCAGTGTGCCCTCCCACTTTTTTGCCCCTTGGGGGGGATCAAGCAGGTCCAGACTGTTCCTATCCGTTTACTTCACTGCATCTGTGCAGTCGAACACTGTAACAGTTTGAGGCCCTTGATGCATACTGGTCCTGCACTGCCTCATTTCTGTACCTGCACAGTCATTCCCTGTCTTTTTTGGACCTTGGACTCTAACAGTTCACACCCTCTGATCATCTGGGCACAGTGCTTAGTGGTGACGCTCCATACTCTTGTTATGTGACCTACAAATGCTTGATCCAAGATACCGCCTTCCAGCCCTGCTGCTACTGAGGATTGAAAGTACTTGTTTAGGTACAATATTGGATGAGGCATAATGAATCACAGACTCAGGGACAAGAGACTTGATGAGCTCAGCAGTTCAGGCTCAGCATTTAGCTCTCTGGGGGATTTTAGTAAAGTGTTTCAGAGCTCACATACTCTTTGGTATGATGGCTGTCCCTATTCTAACTACCTGCCTTTACATGGTAACTCAGCCTGCCGACCGGCTGTGCCAGCCTCCTCTTTCCTTTCTAGGAAGGAATTTTCTGCCACAATCTCCAAATTCATGGACAGTATTTTTGGCCTTACAGAGGCTATGGACAGTAGGGGTAACTACCATCGATGAACCAGATGTGGTGTCTGAGGAATAGGCAGATATTGTATAACAGGATCTCTTGCTTTCAGAGGCAATGGATCAGGAGGACAGCCTTAGTGCTGAAACGTAAAGAAGGCTATTGTTATTCTTAGACACTAAAATATAGTGAGGGTACTCCTGCGCCAACTATACTCAATAAATTGAAGTGTTTAACTAAGCGAATGATATTGTTAGAAAATCTATAAAATTAATATTCAAATGGTGACTGTCACTTTAAGTTGCTGCTGCCACCAATCTGTGTTCCCACTCAAAATATGAATATAAATAATATGTGATGTAGCGCTGCTGACAGATAGTAAAAAACATGTATGAATGTGTAGATTAATGAATTAAACCATAAAAAGCATCAATCCATCAAGTTGTACCATGCTATAATACTGACAATCTATATATGGTGAATAAAACTCATATAAGTGCGCTCTAAATAGTGATCAAATATAAAAATAAATTCAGAAAGTTAATTCAATTCAAGAAAGTGCGTGGACCAACACCATATAACATATATCCGTGCTTCACTTTTGCTTCGCACACTATAGTGCTCTCAATACTCTCACCTCGCAGTGCACTTATATTTAGATAATAAAATCGGTTTTAGAATCAGAGGATTGCAGCATGTACTTCCATGTTGCGTCACTTTCTGTTACATCTGCTTACGCCCAATGTGTTGCATCACTGTCACGTGACTTCATCAGGGCACTCCTGATGAAGGCATGGGCAACGCAATTGCTTTTAATTTTTTTTTTTTATTTAGTTTGTTGTTTTTTGGGGGGTTTTTTTAACACTTTTTTTTTTTTTTTCATTTAACTCTTTTGCCATCTCAAAAGGGCTACCAAGTCCCCCTATGTGATAGCATGGGCAGTTAATAAGTCCCCTATATAACATTCATTAACACCCCCTTTCCCCAATATCCCCCTACTGCACAAATTGTGCTTGATCAGCCTCTACCCAGCTACAGTAGTCAGGGAATGACAACTCGGAATCTGGAAGTGACATAATCGGTGTTGCTACAGGGTTCATTAGTCATACAAGGTAGCTCCTCCTGCTCTCCACACTGAGGGATTTTACCATTGTCCCAGGCAGAAGAGCCCGGGAACCACCTAAGGGTTGCTGACTGCCACCTTCTGTTCTGTAAAAGTGATCTGGAGCTATTTTGCCAGTGTCCCATCACCTGAAATTAGCTACACATAACCAAATTATCGTTTTAAAGTGTCCTGTACTGTAATCTAGAAAAAATATTTAAGTTGAAAATCCTATTTTTTAGCTCTAGGTTATGGTGTGATTTGGTAATGTTGCCATACAGTCAGTTCATAAATTATTTAATTGAAAAAAAAAATTTGATTCAAGGTGTAACCGCATACATCTTTGCATAGGAAGATAGTACTACTGCTAAATTCAGTTTTGTTTAACCTTGTATATAGTATAGAGTACTTACAGACCAGACCTAGAAATTCAGTGCAGTTTTCCACTGACTCCCACAGCTGGTTATTTTCTTTAATTGCTTTAAAACCGAACATATAAAGCAGAACAAGGAATGTTAGTTTTATGTGGAATTGTGAAGTCTGACTTGCTATTTAGTGAAAAAAAAACCACCAAGTGAGTACTGTTCGTGATACTTTGTTTATTTGCACTAACATCCACATTCTCAGGACAAGCATTTGGCGTGTACTCCCTTCTTCAAGGTCCAAGCAATTGTTTTTGTTATAAATGCGCTAATAGGGATCACCCCAAACTATTTGGTGTAAGCACTTGCAAATGAGGGGACAGCAGTAGTGTGACGCTTGTGTCTTGCCTACTCTCTCTTTGTGAGTATACATTCATACTGCTTATTGTACAGCAACATGCCTAGAAAAATCAGTAACCTGTTAGTTTACTGAATATTTTGAAAGGTGGGGTGATATCATTTTGTTAGTGTCAGCTTGCTCTCACCAGTTAGTTTCGCATAATTTCACAGACTGTTTTTTTTTTTTTTTTTTTTTTTATAGTCCCTAGAAAGCACAAGTGTCCTTTAAATTTGTTTTTATAGAACATTTTTTAAAAAACTATAGATCCCAGTGAGGTTTTAAATATGGTTTCCTCATTATTTTAATCAGTACTAAAAAGCATTGCAGAAATCGGGTGCACATACGCAATTGTTAGTTTTCTGATTGCAGGTGATTCTTCAACAAGGTTCAACAAAGCTTAGTGTGGGAAAAAGCAAGACCTCCATTACCAGCGATTTAGGCATGGAATTTGTGGACCCAAGAACCCAGAACACTTTGTTCAGCACAGATTATGAGAAACATGAATTTCATTTACCCAAGGGAGTGAAGACCTTAAATGTTCAGAAAGCATCTACAGAAAGGGTAATGCATTTTGTTTGTCATACAATAATTACTTCTTGACAGGAACCTAAAGATATACATTTTCCAGCATAATGCTTCATGCTAAAGAAACATAAATCTACTGTACATTTCCTTTTAGAACTAGGAGCCTGCAGAGACCATGCTGTTACTGACAGCTCTCAATCTTCATTTCTGTGATTGGCTCCTGGTCATGTGATCTCAGCAGCTAATCATAATAATGACCATATGGGTATATATTAACAAAGAAGCCTGTGATTGGCTGTCATAGTGGTCACATGATTGGGAACAATATCTTGGACCCCAATGGTTAAACAAAAAAAAAAATGAAAAATGTATGGTCTGCCTTAAGCCAGCCAAAGATGGATCGAAATTCGTCCGCTTCAGCAAAAATGCTCCTCAAATGCCCTATGCATGTTTGAGATGCATTAACCGTTTCTTGTCTACCCTATATCAGAAATACTGCTACAGGTTGGCACGGGTGCGCAAAATCACATCAGTGATTACTCGCCGGCACCGAGTGATTGCCGAGGATCTCCAACGAGAAGGAGAACTGTTTGTAATCAAAACAGTTCTCTTCCCTGTCAGCTCATGCACACTGCTTTGCATGGCTGTGCACAGCACAGCCATACAAAGCAGGGTGCTTACAGTAAAGCACAAACATACCTCAAACTCCTGCTTTAATTGCCAGTGTGAACAGGGCCTTAGTGTGTCATACTGTTAAGGGACAGGTCAAAGCCTTCTGATATTGTCATTTCCTGAAACAAATAATTCCTATTTAAGTCTTTATTTGTATTCTTAACCACTTACCCGCCTCCCCATAGCAGTTGTACTGCTACAGCGTGGCTTTGCTAGGCAAAATCATGTAAATATGGTGTGCCCTACCCGCGCTGCTATTGGCTCCTGAGGATGTCAATCACCATGTCCCCATTGGCGATATTTGGCCGGGACTCGGTGATCATCAGCAATGCTGGGAGGGGAGAGATCTGTGTGTAAACAACACTGATCTCTCTCCTGACAGCATGGACATGCTGCTTTCTATCTCTCTGCACAGCAGAGAGATAGAAAGCAGCTGGTCTGCTTAGTAAAACAGTACACAATAAAATCACTCCCTAATACACAGTTAAACCTTTGCCCCAGATGTTAACCCCTTCCTGCCCAGTGTTGTTAGTGTCAGTGATCACTCTATTAGTGTCACTGGAGATGTCAGTGGCAGTTAGTCATTTCCCACCCAGAGTCAGATTGCCCTCTGCAGTCCCACAGTCCGCTATAAGTCGCTGATCACTGCCATTACTAGTATAAAAAAATTAAATAACTAAAAATTCCAGTATATATACCTCCATTTGTAGACACTATAACTTTCCCATAAACCAATTAAAATACAATTATTGGGATTTTTTTAGCAAGGACATGTAGCAGAATACATTTTGGCCTAAATTTATATATTCTAGCAAAAAGTAAAAAAATTATATTTTTTTTCAAAATTGTCTTTTTTTTGTTTATAGCGCAAAAGATAAAAACCACAGAGTTGATCAAATACCACAGAAAGAAAGCTCTATTTTTGGGAAAAAATCACATATAAATTTTATTTATGTACAGCGTTGCATAACTGCTCAATTGTCAGTTAGTCACGCAGCGCCGTATCGCAAAAAATGGCCTGGTCAGGAAGGGGGATAAATCCTATGGAGGGCAAGTGGATAATATAATTTTACCTGTATATTTGATTTAAATTAACAATTACAATAATTACAATTAATGAACTATTACATTGATGGTCATTTTCAAGTAGTAAGGTAGTAAGGCTTCGGTCACACTGAATCTGACTTTGAAATTGTGCAACTTAACTTGAAGTCGCATGATTTCAAAGTCGAATGTCAGTGTGACTTCAGGTGCAACTTGGAAGACATCTGTGCGACTTCATGCACATGTCTGTGCAAGTCACACCTGAACTTGCAAAAAGTAGTGCATGAACTACTTTCAAGCACTACTTTTCAAGCATTTGATCGTTTCCATTGCAGACAATAGGGTGTGACTCGTCATGCGATTTGAAACTATCAGATCGCATGACAAGTTGCACTGGTGTGACTGGTGACTCAAGGTTTTAGGAAAAAAACAAAAGCACACAGACCCTACAAGGTAAAGGCAATAGTGTGCTAGTATGTATCTTTGCACAAAATTCTTCTAGATTGTGGCCAGATATAGTTTTAATATATAAGGTGCTTAAAATAAATAAAAAATCTATATGCATGTTTTTGGCTTCATCCCAGAATTCAATCTCTTAGTGGAAATATTTGGTGTTATCTTTATTTTTTAGATTACCAGCAGTGCAAGCAGCGACCTTAAAATCAATGTGGATGGGCATATCACTGTGCGTGGTAATGAAGGAGTTTTTTGTTTTTTTCATCATGGGAAAGACAATAGATTTTCGAACAGTGGAAATATTGTGCTAAAAGCAGTGAGTACTGGTTAATTGCCATTCTTTTTGCTTGGTATAGTTTTTGTTTTTTTGACCACATTCTGGCTATAGGGAAATTCTTTGGAAAGCAAAAAAGGGATGTACCATGGTAGCTAGCAAACAAAGCTAAAAGTAGGGATGCACCTCCCCTCAATAATAGCCAAAGTGCCCCCTCACCTTCCACATTCGACCCTTGATACCAGTCTCCCCTGTGAGTACAATGAGTACCAATACTTTCGTTCAACGTACTCACTGATACCACATACTCCAACAGATACCTTGCTGCGGTGCAAAGTATTTGAGCCCATACAAAACGTAAATGGGCTCAAATCGCACTGCTGACACGTGTGGGCTAAATAGCTTCACCTGAATTAAGAGGCTCAAGCTCCACCAATCCATGTGCATTTTTTTTTATTTATATTGGAGTTTGCTGACCAATTATAAACCTTTATAGTCCGTACTGTTAGCAGTGCAAAGAGAAGAGAGAAAGCCGTGGGGATTTAAAATCCCTGGACCTAGAGGGATCGTCAGTCTGGTGCAGCGGGACTGGGGGGAATGAGGAGGAGGTCCAGTGGATGGTTGAAACCACTGGAAGCAGGGGGGAGAGAGCCGTGGGAGAGGCAGGAGGAGCCCAAGTCACAGCTGCTGATATCCACAGCGGGATTGGTGGAAACATTTCATGCAGGGAGGTTTCCTGCACCACTCCTGTGTGAACTCAAAGTCACTATGACAAGCCTGGGTTCACACAGGAGCTGTGCATGGAAACTGCATGTGATTTGGACAGGAATCACACAGCATTCCTGTTCAAATTGCATGCAATTCTTTGCAGTGGGATTTGAGCCCATTCATTTTTTATGGGCTTAAATCACACTGCAGAGGTATTGGTTTCAGTATCGGGAGCATTTGCAAGAGTATGAGTACTTGTGCAAGTACTTGGTATCGGCGCAACCCTAGCAAAAAGGATTGTCAAACTGGCTAGCTAGAAGAAATGTTTATAACTAAAAGTTTTCAGAAACCCCAGATTGCTCAATATATCAGTAGATGGAGCCTAGTCCTCCAAAAAATCAGAATGGTATTAGTTAACAACTAAAGCAAATTATTTTCTCCAGTTCTTTCTAATGAAATGTTTACATTTTAGTTTTCTTAAAAAATACCTATACTTTATACTCAGGGTAGCCCCGGAAGTGTTCAGGAGAATGCAGTTTATTATTTAGTTATTAAAGGTGAAGTACTTTGTCACTGTCAGTGCTCCAGGCACTGATATCCAGATAGTTCAGGAAAAACTCAGTTTTAAATATTGCCTTAATTCAGTTTCTTTTTCCGAGTTTTGTAATTGCTTGGGGTTTATGCAACTGTAATATTGTATGACAGGTTAGGGAATTAAAATGTATGTCTAGTTAAAACATTTTTCCATGGTTTTGGATAGAAGGGGGAAAGCAGTATTATCTCTGATGGGTATTCAATTCCATCCTGGGCTCCAATAGAAGTTTTCTCCTCACTGCTTGTCTTTCTGACAATGTTTTACCACACAGGAAGTGAGGGAAAGTCTTCAAAAGCAACACAGACAGTAATAAAAATGCTTTTTTTTTTTTCAGTAGAGTAGGGGAAGGTTAGAACCCCCATCAGAAGTGTACTTCTGTGTCCCTGTGGCAGATCCTCCCCCCTCAATTTCTATCTTATAAAAACCATAAACAGCTGGTCCAAAAGTGAGGGAAATACTCCCAAATGTAGCCCGAAATAGCGCTGAGGCCAGAGGTTCTGATTTCCGTATTCAAAACTAAAAGCAACATACTTTTTGCTAGATTTGCACTTTATTCACCTTTGTATGTAATATAATATTTACCTTATTTCCTTTTGCTTGTCTTTCTGCAATAATTGTAGCCAATATTCACTTTAATACTGTTGATATATACACATGGCGTTTGGTGTACTAAAGGTAAATAGGCTGTTCACTTTGCAAGGGAAGATGTACTTTGCAAGGGAATTTTCCCCAGAGCTTAGAAAATGTGGTGAAAAGAATACCCAATCACATGCAATTTTTATTTGCACATGATTGGATGATTCACTTCATTCACTAAGCACTGGGGCTCTGCAAAGTGTAGCTTTTCCTGCAAAGTGAATGTCCAATTTGCCTTTAGTAATCACCCCCATGGACTGCTGTGCCATTGCAAGTTTTCTGTAGAAAATTTTGAAATGACTGTAAAGTGCTGTGTAGAGGTATGGCTCAGAGAGGGCTAATGATGGTGCAGCAGGTAGTCTGGTTTCAGGTTAGTGTTGTTAGATGAATAAAAATCAGGACACCAAGGTTGTTTATGAACTGTAAGGCCATGGAGTAAATAAATAGGAACATTGAAATATGGATTCTGGAACATTTTATAGTAGTTGTGGCCTATGTTATCCTGCAGTAATTACAAACACTAGGTAAAAATGAACTCTGCTCTTGGATTATATTCTGAAAGTCCTGAAAGACCCCTAAATTCTCTGACCCCCAAATGCATTTCCTTCCATAGGAAAACAGCATTGTTCTGAATGGCAGTGTGATGGTCACTCCTTCTCGATTACCTACAGCTACAGGGGAGCTGATGTATGATGACGGAACAGAACGTTACAAGCTGTGCATGTGTGCAGATGGGACTTTATTTCGGGTATTAGTGGAGAGCCGCAATATGGGATGCTTAACTTCTGTCAATCCTTGTGGCTCAATATATTAAGGAACAGCACATCACCTGCAATTACATCAGTGTTTTATCTTTACCCTTATTTATGTTTGTTTAATTGTGTGAGGTTTTTGTGATAATGCTTTCTAAAAATGTTTTTGCAGTATTAACTATTTATTTTCTAAGAACGACAGCTACGTAACTGCCTGTGCAGCCTGCTCATACATGCACATTGGATCTGTGTCTGTGCCAATGGGCTTTTACTCACATCAGAGCTGCTTCTCTATTCGTACAACAAGTTTAGGGGAATGCAAAAGCAGCTTGAAGCATGTCAACGTCAGGTAAAAAGTAGTCTATCAAAAAATTCTGAATGATCTCAGAAGCATCTCAAACTAATGCCAAACGCAAACTGCTTTTGCACATAAATCCAAAGCCTATTGGCACGGTCCTCATATATCTCTGCTGTCTCTATCTTTACAACCTTTCTCCTAGCTGATAGGGCTGGGTGATTATTGCACTGATGATAGGGAAGAATACATGCTGGGAAGAAGGGCGTATCAGGTACTGACAATATCACCAATAGATGACTGTTCTCTAAGTAGATGAACACTCCCAGTTACAAGGAAGCCCTGAGCAGTCACGTCTTACTTCTATACTTATGTAGCACACCAGGCCTTTATATGTTTACAGTGTAACTGTTTACATTAGTGAGCATTTACTGTACATTGCAGCAATTGGTTTCAGGTTATATGGTCTCAGGAGTGGTACTTTATTCTCCTTTGCTGGAACTCACTTAGCAGATTTATTTTCATGAATTAGCTTAGCTTACATTTGTATCCTAGCAAAGCCATATCTGTCACTGTCAAGATACAGATTAGACCAGGGCTTAAAATTTCAAGTCCTGAGCTACTAGCCAGGCCTTAAGAGTTACTCGCCACCAACAAACACACACAAAAAGACACCTGTACACACACACACAGACATGTACACACACACACAGAAACATGTACACACACACATACAGACACATGTATACACACACAGGCACATACAGACACGCATACACACAGATACATGTACATACACAAAAATACATACGCATAGACACATGTACATACACACAGACATGTATACACACAGGCATGTACAGACATGCATACACAGATACATGTACATACACAGAAATACACATGTACATACATACACAGACATATGTACATACATACACACACATGTACACACATACATGTACATACATACAGACACATATGTACAAATACACACATGTACATACACACAGAGACATGTACATACATACACAGACACACACAAACCACACACACACACCCCTATAAAAAGTTGCAGTACTTCGTTGTTCACTCACAGAGCCGGGTACTGCACTCTAGGGGGAGGCAGAGAGCATAGCACACACTCCTTGCTTTGCTTTTACTGCGCTCAGCTATTGAGCAGTCTTACGGCTCCCAGTGCCAATGACAGATCCGGCCTGAGCTCCAAGCCTGCTCAGCAAGACGGCCCTGGGGGACACACTCGCCCCCACCATAATTTCCACTCGCCAATGGCGAGCAGGTGAGTGGACATTTCAAGCCCTGGATTAGACATTTACCTACAAGTTTTTGATTGCATAGCACACAGGTATTTCTTGTGTATCATGGTGTTTTGTAATTTGGTTTTAACTGTTTTGCTGACATAATTGTAGTGGATGTTCAGCCAAAACTTTAATGTTTTTGTCTCTACAAGTAAGCTGATCTCTAAGAGCAAGCTGTTGGGTGTTAGATGGGAGGATCCATGGGCAGGAACTGTCACATTGATTGTCAGCTTCAATAAACCAGAACTTGTTACGTCATTATTATGTGGAGATTTGCTTTTACTGGTTCAAAAATGTTTTTTTTTTAGTTTAGATAGAATAAGGAATGAATAGATCCTTTATCAGATTTAAATAACTGGTTGTTGCTGTCAGGGTTTGACAGAGTTGTACTTTAGAGCAGCATTTTTCAACCTTTTTTCAGTCAGACATCCTTTAAGAGAATGCAAAATCTTAACGCACCTTAGGAAAATTGGGCCTTTTTTTATTGGTAAATTGTTTATTTTTTTTTTTTTTTTTAAATCAAAGGAAATCTGACACTAAATTGTAAACAAATATACTTTTTTAAACCTTAGCTACACTATATATATTTTTTTTCACCCACCCACCAAAAATAAATTCACTAATTACTATGTGCCTGGGGCGTACCACATAAATGTTACAGTGTGTACCTGTAGTAGGGTCCAGTCTACCTTAAAACACACTGACACTAAATATAAAACTTTTTTTCTACCTACCTTTTTACACAGACTTATACACACAGTGTACCTTTTTCTCCTCACAGAGGAGTAACATTACAGAGGTGGGTTCTAACACTAGTGATAATGTGATTTATTGCCTCACAATGATCACGACTGTAATTCCCACAGCAGGTTGGTATGGCAAATTTTGCTTTTACCTCTCAGTATAATTAAAGAAATAATGCCAGTCATAAGGCTGCACACTAATTGTCACTAACCATAGTACATCAATTTTATGGTAAAATTTACAACCAGGATTGGATAATAGTGACAACATGTCATCTGCCTTATTTAAAGAACTACTATCGGATTGTACAGTGCGGCATAAAGAACTTGAACATTGAGCTTTAGAAAGTCTTGTAAATTTTCTCAGTAGGTCCGTCACCTTCTGCCTCCCTTGATTCTTTTCCAAGTGTTAAGCCAACCATAGATGGTTCAGCAGGGACCAGCCAGGATTTAAACCATGTGTGGGCAGGCTGAATGTACCCAAGTTGATTGATCAGTCAACTTGGGTACAAGAAGCCTGTCGGATTTTATATGCAATCATTGCTAGTGGCTAATATAGCCACTAGTAGTAATCATGGTGGTCTCGCGGTGGGGACAACTCCCCCTACCCCCCTCTGCCAGGAGCAACTGACTGTGTTGATGGAGAAATTGAGCGATTTTCTTTCCTGGCTGCAGGAAAGAAAATCGCATTGTCTCTGGCCACCTTTACACACAAGTATCCAAGAGCGGACAGACAAGTCAATAAAAAGGAATATTGCGTCATGCTGCTGTGTTAAGTACTAGTCTGCATGTGGCTTATGTGGCAAAGACTGTGCTCAATAAAGATGTACAGACTGCACTGTGAACAAGAGAACTAACCATAAATAAATATATACTGTATACTGGAGCAATATGTTAGCAGTCTTACCCAGTACTGCAGTCCATGTCATTAATACAAATGACATTGGTTTTATATGGATTTTCCGTATCATTACAATAATGCTCAGTTTTAGCTTGCAGGCTGCTGTCAGTTTGCCAGGTGATACGATTTGTTGTGTTGGTGTTTTGCACTGTTTACATTTTTTGTTTTTTTTATGTTTGCTGGACTTGGACAAAGTGTACACTTCATTCAGGTCTCTGTACAGTAACACAATTCACTGCATATCTGCGTTTTACCACACCAGTGTTGTGTGAACAGGGCACAAAGAAAACAATTTGGGTGATTGGCATTGATCCAGTGCGGAAAAATGCCAGTCACCGTAGTGAGAATGAACCCTTAAGACTGATAATTATGATTTCTGTCTTTGCCTGATCAGATTTAAGCAATACAGAATACCTTCCCACTTACGTGATTTAGTAGGTTTTCTAGCTATATATACCAAAGTGTTGTGTATCGATAATACCTTTTTTAAAGTGAGTTTTTTAAAAGATACTATTAAATTTTCATAACATAGTGAACAATATGCATTATTAGTGCTTAAGTGAAATATAAGAAAGTCCTTTCTCTTTAATCAAAAGTGTACTGTGTAATGAAAAGTACACTCTATAAACAAAACACCGCAATTGCTATGAGAGCCAAATTCGCCCCTGGTATATTTTTATGGCAAAATTCGAGGCTGAGAGCGTACTAAAAGAAAAAAAAAAACAGGATTGGTATGTTACAGGCACTTCATTGATGTTAGAAAGGTAACAAAGAATCATTAATCCACTTTATGGAGAAATTAGATAGGAATATCACATGTTCGTGAAGTATAAACAGAGAACATTTTTATTTGGATCTATTACAATGGAAGGTGGGAGATTTAAAGTGGTTGTAAACTTCAGACATAAAATATGAACAAAACATATCCCTGTTTAGTGTGTACTTATCTCAATTAAGAGTATTAAGTGTCATTTCTGTTTGCTGCTTTTCCAAGAGAAAAATGGGGACCTGCAGCAGATTGACTCCCTCAGCTCCAAGCTCTGTTCTTCTTCCCTCCAATCAGCTCCCAGAACTCTCCTCACTGAGCTCTGCTGAGTGTAACTTCAGCTCTACACCCCCTTTTTCTGAACTCTAGACAAGCTTTATAAATGAAGGACTTTGAACAGATGTAGAGAAGAGGAAGAGAGGGCTGCAGATAGGTACAACTTCTGTAGAAGGATTTGATTCATTTCTGTGTATCACCTGAGGCCAGTTACTTAACTGGTTAATTGTAAGGGTTCACAACCACTTTAAGACAAAAACTTTTTTGTAAATCTACGAATAGAAATGTATATATATATATGATAGCTGCCATCATCCCATATAGCTTACAAAACATCCTGAAAGGGCAGATTATGCGATAAAAATGCAACTGCTCAGATGAGGAGGTATTCCTACAACAGGCAGATATGATTGGCAATAGAGATGAGGAGGTATTCCTACAACAGGCAGATATGATTGGCAATAGAGATGAGGAGGTAGGCAGATATGATTGGCAATAGAGATGAGGAGGTATTCCTACAACAGGCAGATATGATTGGCAATAGAGATGAGGAGGTATTCCTACAACAGGCAGATATGATTGGCAATAGAGATGAGGAGGTATTCCTACAACAGGCAGATATGATTGGCAATAGAGATAGTAACTTTATTGCCAAAGAGATCCAAAAGGTAAAGAATATGGATTGAAATGAGTTGTTGCACGATAGAGAGAGGAAATCTGGAGAAAAGTATGGCACTGCAATATTTATGGATTTGTTTATAG